TGTCTCCTGGTGACGGACAACGGATCAACATCATCATCATCAACACGCTATACAGTTGATGTAAACGTTGTCATCATCATTGTTTTTACTAGTAATAGAAGTAGTAGTTGCCGATCTCTGGTACAGTTGAACGCGTAGGAAAAAGAGAAAGAGAGTATTTGGAGAAGAAGTATCTCCTCGCCAAGCGTGAAACAACGGCGGTGGTGATGGCCACAGTGTACAAGTGATCCGCCGCTGTACGGCAGCAGCCTTCCAGTCATTGGAGGCCTTCAAGTGTCGAGGCGGCAGTGGCAGCAAAGTCTTATCGACGCTCTGATCACCGCTCGATGACCAACATCTTTGCCTTCTGCTACTGCTGCTGCACAGCTGTAGCACCNGGTGATGGCCACAGTGTACAAGTGATCCGCCGCTGTACGGCAGCAGCCTTCCAGTCATTGGAGGCCTTCAAGTGTCGAGGCGGCAGTGGCAGCAAAGTCTTATCGACGCTCTGATCACCGCTCGATGACCAACATCTTTGCCTTCTGCTGCTGCTGCACAGCTGTAGCACTNAACGCGTAGGAAAAAGAGAAAGAGAGTATTTGGAGAAGAAGTATCTCCTCGCCAAGCGTGAAACAACGGCGGTGGTGATGGCCACAGTGTACAAGTGATCCGCCGCTGTACGGCAGCAGCCTTCCAGTCATTGGAGGCCTTCAAGTGTCGAGGCGGCAGTGGCAGCAAAGTCTTATCGACGCTCTGATCACCGCTCGATGACCAACATCTTTGCCTTCTGCTACTGCTGCTGCACAGCTGTAGCACTGTTCTCTTTCCCTCGCCTCTTCTGCTCACGAGGAGGTTTACATTATTACGATGCACTAGTGGCCACAAGTATTCAGTGGCAGTGAGCGTCAGAGTGGTAGCAGCATCATCGGCAGAGAGATGGAAGTGGTGATTCAACGGCAATGTTTGCTGTACAACAACAACATCAACAACATTACTGAGCCATCAATCTGTCCACTCGTCAATGCGACTTTTAACCCACTTTGTCATCAGTGACATTTGCGAAAATATATATTATCCACTTATTGACTGCTATTTGTCATCACTTGTTCCTCACCTTCAGCCCCTCCTCCTTTCTTACGTCTTCACTGATAGTGCACTGTTTAATCATGTGAGATTATCTCCTTTTTCTGTTTCTTATTCTTTTCTCGTAGTTTTACTGTTAAGCTTTTACATTTTTGCACCTTTATCATCATCATCAGCCCCTCTCCCGCCTACACAACCACCTGCTTAATGGTAATTCTCCGCTAAGCGGTAATCGATCACCATCAGCATATTTGTGCTTTCAGAGGAATCCGCAGTGGCGGCAGCTGCACCAGCATTCTTGCGAAAAGTCAACGGATCTGACACGATAGTAGTAGGCGGGAAACACTTGGAGCTCATCAGCAGCTTCAGAATGAGAGAGGGCGGTCTGCACTTGTTTGCCGTACAGACGTGCGTCTTGTAACACTTGTAACGAGCAGTAGAAGTTGTGGTTGATCAGTTCGTTGCCTAGGTGCTGCCGATGTGTTATCAGTCCACTGCCCAGGTGATGGCGTTATTGCCCTTTTATTGCAAGCGGTACGAGGACTGGTGATGATGATTGTACCACTGCCATCCGCAAAAGTAGCACCTCGTGAGACCCAACATGACGGGGTTACTTTTTGCAAGAGCAGCAACAGCTCGTTACTCATAGATCCTCGTGTTTCTCATGGATCCAAAGTTGCTTTGCCGCTGCTGCTGCTGCTTCACTACGGTGTGAGGGCACCTGCTGGAGGAGAAACATTGTTGTACAGTTGAAAATACGGCCAGCAATTTACAGCCCACTTTGTAGGTAGTTGGTAGTAATGCGATGACTTTATATTACAACGTGCTAACCTAAGGCAGTGCTGAGCGGTGGGCGGAGAAGGAGGGGATAGCCTCCTTCTCCTTCTCTCCTGGCCTGCCATTCGGTGTCGAACTGCTTGGTATATTATGGTGTCTGGTCGGTGCCTGTGCCATTGCTGCTGCTGTGCTCTTTCTTAATTGTGCCGCTTCATCCGCTTAATTGCCTTTTTTCATTGTGCCTCTTTCATCTTTGGCGTTTGTGTGTGTGTGCTGTGTGACAATTGAAGAGGTAGCTGCAAAGAAAATCTACTTACCGAACTTTTGAGTAAGTGAATGACAATTCGGTTTAGGAAGACCCGGAATCGACCTGTTTGCTTCTCGGGACTTTTAAATCAATCAATTGACAGATCTGTTTTGTCTTTTTTTTAATTCTGCAACCACTACTACCAACACTACTTGAGCACTCTCTCTTCTCTCTCTCTCCCTGTGGGACGCCCCACATCAATTGAAAGTTAATTGAGCCTGTCTGAACTGACTGACTGTCTGCTTTTTCGCTGTTTTACTCGTAGCTGCCGACCAAGTAGTTATATTCAAATCAGCCTCTCTCTCTCCTCTTTACCACTTCTTCACTTTCTCTTTCCTTCTCTTTGCTCTTACATGTTGCAGTAGCAGCCGCACAATCCCATCGGTTATCTGAGCACGTCGTCGTCGCCGTAGTTGTCGCAGTCGTCGATGTTGTTGTTGTTTGGTTTGATCTGACTTGCTACTCTGTACAGCACAGACTCTCTGTCTTACTCTCTTCTCTTATCGTCGGATTTCCACGCTTCACCACCACCATCGCCATTACCATCACCTCAACAACCAGGTTTGAAGAGAGGCAGAAATAAGAAACTGTGACCTGGTGGTAGTGCTTTGGAAATCGAAGCTTTCTCTGTAGTTCACTCCCTTCAACTTTACTTTGAAGTCAGCTCTGCTGCGGCTGTTCTTCACTGCATTTTGCACTCAAATCACCTTCACTCGTTTTCTCCATTCCCTCTTGTGATCTGCCAGTGGTTTTCTCCCTTCTCTCTTCTTTCCTCTCCTCACGCCACTAATTCTTTCATCGAAGTTTCTTTGTGAGTGTTTGATCAGAATTGAAGAATTGGGAGCTATTTTTGGCAGCCAGCCATTCTTCGTCAGTTGGTTCAGCTTTAGTTTTCACTGTTTCCCCTCTTTGAGCTTACTACCAGCAAAAGCAGTAAAATAAAAAAGGTAAACACTGTTCCGGAGCTGTTCTGGTGCGCGTGTGCTCGCCTACAGCATATGCTCAACATTTAAACTGAATCAATCGGATTGAGAAACTGTATTTTANCCAGCCATTCTTCGTCAGTTGGTTCAGCTTTAGTTTTCACTGTTTCCCCTCTTTGAGCTTACTACCAGCAAAAGCAGTAAAATAAAAAAGGTAAACACTGTTCCGGAGCTGTTCTGGTGCGCGTGTGCTCGCCTACAGCATATACTCAACATTTAAACTGAATCACTCGGATTGAGAAACTGTATTTTGATTTCTAAGCGTTTTGCTTCTCAAGCTACACTGATTGAATGTTACCACCACCACCACTGCAAAAGTTCAGTCAAGTTCAGCTTAGAGCACTCTGTGTTACTTTTTGTTTGCACCACTGTAATTGCGGTAATGATTAGCACGTTTGCAAGTTCTGCCTTTCATCTCTCCTCTCATGACGATGACCGTGACATTGCACATTGAAAAAACATGTGCGGGGGTTTATTGCCATTTCACGAGCAGAGGCTACTTTTAGCCTCTCTGTGCGTGTGGGCTCTAAAGTCCACAATTGGAACACTTCAAATTTGCTGGAATTAGTGGCACTCTCATTGCCGCCACCGCCTCCGCCACAAACTTAATTAGATCTGTGCCTTTTCTCCCTACTGTGTGTTACCAAACTCTGCTCCTCTTTGTTTGTGTATCTGTTCCTGATTGTGTGTGTGTGTTTGTCTGGAATCCCCTTATTCCCTGGCCACCTTCTGGTCACACTTTTTTCCTCGTCAGCACTACTGTATTGATTGTTTGGGTTTGTGTGTGTACGCTCCAGGCTTACCGGCTAATGAGCGGCAAAGATATCAGTTGCCGTTGCCGAACGGTAGCAGGGGAGGAAGGAAGGGAGAGAAAGAACGAGCAAAAAAGTACAAACAGCTGGTGGTGGTGGTGCTGTTGTACGTGGTAGGTTCGCCCCTGTGCTTCTGTGGAATGAGAAGAAAAACGCGGGCAATAAGTCATTAACTTGTGCTCTCTCTCTCTCTCTCTCTCTCTCTCTCTCTCTTTCAGTGAGTGGCTGTCTGAGTGGTGGTTGTGGTCGTTGTCTTGACAATTCTCACTGACATACTGCCAACCTACCTACCTTCTTCTTTCCTTCCTTCCTCCGCTTCTTTTCTCCACAATTTTCGGCAGCATTTTAACGGGCGTTCTTCCCCGTCACCAGCACTGCTCAGTTTATTTTCTCCCGTTTTGCCGGCCCCCTTGTCTTCTTTTTCTTTGTTTTCTTTGGCTGTCTACCCACGCCAAGTGCCAAACACCGCCGACGACGACGATACTTTTGCACTTTTTTACATTTTGCAATTTCAGAATTTTGAAAACGATCTTCAACAGCAGCACCAGCTTACTTACCTTTACTTTTGTTTTTTTGCAGTTTTAACGACACGTAGCCAGTTGAAGAAATACTGCAAGTCATATTAAATTTTGAAGAGCTGTTCTGGACCACAGAATATGTGACACCCTTTTTATGGTTCTCTTTATAAGGTGACAATTTTTAAAGGAGAAGAAAAAAGACTGAAGGGTTGCTTCAAGAGCTGTTGTCNACACCGCCGACGACGACGATACTTTTGCACTTTTTTACATTTTGCAATTTTGGAATTTTTAAAACGATCCCAGCACCACCAGCACCAGTTTACTTACCTGAACTTTTGTTCTTTTACAGTTTTAACGACACGTAGCCAGTAAAGAAGTAAGAAGAAAGACAGCAAGTCACTTTAAATTTTGAAGAGCTGTTCTGGACCACAGAATATGTGACACCTTTTTTATGGTTCTCTTCATAAGGTGACAATTTTTAAAGGAGAAGAAGAAAGACTAAAGGGCTGCTTCAAGAGCTGCTGTTGCCAGCACCATGAGCATGGACGTCTCCAGTCGCAGTGGCAGCGTCGCCTCCACGGTGACTGGCCGCATCTACGGATGGTTGCCGCAGAGTGCCTACGACAGCAACAATGTAACGGTACTAAATGTTGTTGTTGATTAATGACCAGATTTGAAACAATGATCTAACCACTTGCATCTTTTTCTCCCTACTTTAGAGCTACCCGACGGCGCTGCAGGACACGCGACTGCTGCGACTGAAGATCTTCAACGGGCGCAACCTTGCGAAGAAGGACATCTTCGGCGCCTCTGACCCCTACGTGCGCATTGACCTGCTGCGAGGCGACAAGAGCGTCATTGACTCGGTGTACACAAAAACGAAGAAAAAAGTGCGTGTGTGTTTTACCTTCCTCTTTTTGCATTTACTGCCTTACTTTGACTGACGCCTTGAAACCTTTACCATCACTCCCACCAGACACTGAACCCTTGCTGGAATGAGGAGTTCATCTTTCGCGTCCTTCCCTCCAGCCACCAGCTGCTGATTGAGGTCTTTGACGAGAATCGCCTCACCAGGGACGACTTTCTCGGCAAGGTGGAGCTGACGCTGACAAACATTCCCGTGGAGTCATCGGCGGCCGATGCGCCGGAGATTAATCCGACGAGGTACATTTTGCAGCAGCGAAGGTAAGGGAACTTGGTTCCACCACTTATTTGATGAATTTTTTTTTCACTAAAAGCCAACAACTTTTTTCCAACAGCGCCAAATCGAAGGTGCGCGGTGATTTGGAGATCTACATTGCCTTCATTGAGGACCTGAACGACGACGGCAGCGGCCGAGCAGCGAGAAGGAGCTCAGTGGAGACGGAGGAGGAAGAGGGCGCAGAAGTAAGTGCCTAAATGCAGGAAGGAAGGAAGGAAGGAAGGAAAAACAAAAGGNTGGAGACGGAGGAGGAAGAGGGCGCAGAAGTAAGTGCCTAAATGCAGGAAGGAAGGAAGGAAAGAAGGAAAACAAAAGAGCAGCGAAAAAAGTTGCTGAAAGAGCCGCCGTTTCCGTTTTCTAATTTGGGATATTTCTCTTTTCGTCTACACTTTAGGCTGACTGGGAAATGGTGGGCGCCAATTTGCCTTCACATCACGGCCGTGAAGCCTCAACGAATGGCGGCGGTGGTGGTGGTGACAGTGGTGACGAGCTGCCCGACGGTTGGGAGGAGTGCCAGGATACCAATGGGCGAACTTACTTTATCAACCACAACTCTCGCAGTACGCAGTGGGAGCGACCTCAGCTGAACAGGTACGAACTGGCAGAGAAGTTCAGTGTTGAGTACACTGCCTCTTTCTTGCTGCTTAATTAGATTTTAGATTGCAATCTTTCACTCCTAACACTGACACTTTCCCTTTCTCCTTTTCTCCAATTTTACAGTTCCTCGCCGAGTGCTGCCGCCGTTGCTGCAACCGCCGTCTCTGCGTTCAGTGAAGCGAACAGTGGCGGAGATTCGATTGGCGGTGGTGCAACACTGCTGTCGCCGTCCTCGCTGACGGAAGCTGGCAACAGTGGAGGAGCCAGTCCCACCGTTCTGGACACTCGAGCGCAGGAGTTTAACCGTCGCTTTCACGTGGGCAGCAGTCTCGACCAGACGGAGCAGATCACCACCACCAACGCCAACATCAACAGCAGCCAACTCTCCTCGGGGGCCTCCTCGCCCAGTGCGGCAGAGCAGATTTCCGCCAGCACGCCCAGTCCGCACTACGCCTCATCGTTGGCTGTGGCCAACTTTCGCGGCGGTTCCGAGAGCATCGACTCGAACTCCAGTCTGACGGGTGGGGAAAGCAGTTCAGGGGAGCAGAGTGGTGACAGCTGTGCTGCTCCTTCTGCCGCTGAAGCCGCTGAAGCTGGGAATGATGATGATGTCGATCACAATGTCAGCACTGCGACTACCACCGCTGAAGAACAACAAACGGCATCGACGACAGAGGCTTCACCACCACCACCAGCAGCAGGTGGTGACAACAGTGCGGAAGGCATCGCCAGCACTTCAGCGGCCACAGAGGAGACCTCCAGCGGTGAAGTGCCAGTAGAGGCAGCAGCAGAAGCCGCGGAAGAGCAGCAGCTGGTGGTGGAAGACAGCTCTGCACCGGACATGGCCACCAGGAGGCATTCAGAGGTACGTGAAATATGCTTTACAGTATGTGCTGCTGCTGTACGAAAGGTTGTCATCAGGGTGAAATGCTACTGCTGCTGCTGCTGCTTTATGAATGTGTGTGAGAGAGAATGCGACTTTGTCATTTTTGAAAGTGTGTGCTACCTGTGGTGTGTGTTGTCGCTCTTATCGATGAACTCTCTCTCCCTCACTCACTTGCGTTGGAAAGTTTAGGGCGCATTGCTGGAGTGCCATTCTTTTATGGTGTGAGCACCACTACCACCACCACCACCACCAGGCACCTTGAGGAGGAGAAAGAGTACAGTCAAGAAAAGTGAGGAGACAGGAAGGAAAATAGCTGCAGAGTGATTCGCCAAAATGCTGGCAAAAAGCAGACACTCTCCAATATTGCGTTCATTCGCAACAACAAGTGCTATCATTTGGTGTTCATGTTGTTCATTTATTACTTTGCTGCAGAGCATTCAGCAGTGGAAGTACCTTTGCAGCCTTGATGTGATCATCAACAACAGCGGCAGAAAAGTACAGGTTGGCTGGTGAGTGTTGCTTCAGCTTTAACCCGAGACTAGCTGTCACACTTAGTCAGCAGTATTTTGCGTACGTTTCCCGCCACTGTTGCATTACCGTTTGGCCAACACTGTTCTAGCACTGCTACCAGAAGTGCGACCTTGTCATTGCAGCAGCACTCGAAATCAGCGACCACAGAAGCTCACACATACACATTCATTTACGATCCAGAGTTGCCCTCTTTCCCTCGCTTTTGTGTGCGTGTATGCTCAAGTGAGTCAAGTGGTACGTCAAACCAAGTGTACCACTTTTTTTCCACTATTGCACCACTACAGGAGCCTTTTTTGCTGGTGCTGCGGATGCAGACGATGTGACTCAGTTTTGAGCTGATGGCTTTAGTTGATCAGCTGAGCGCGCACGATCTTGATTGGCAGTACACTGACTGATGCTGCCAGTGCCAGTGTGCAGTGAGTGAGTGGCCGGTGAAAGTGATTGGGCTGCTGATCACTTTGATCAGTTGTGGCCGCCGACAGTGGGGGGAGGGAGGGGGACAATCTATCAGACTAAACTAAACGTTGCGCCACAGACTGAGCAACGAGCTGTGCTGTTGGATTGCTGACTTTAGGCAGTACAGTAGATCAGGGCAGTGAGCTTTGATGCGGCAGAATTCAATTAGAAGAGACTGAGTGGCGTAGAAGTTAGAGTTGCCTGGTTATTATCTCTCTCTTATTTTGTTCTAGCAGTAGCAGCTTTTGTTTTTCCTTACCACTTCTACTACTGCTGTTGCTGCTGACAGCATCCACCAGACTCTGCGCCACGGGAGATGACTTTCCTCCTTCGATTAACGAGTGGCGATTTGCAAGAAGTGCGCGCCCCACAGTGACAATGCTGCTGCTGCCACCGCCGCCACCAACACTTTGCCTCTGACTCTGATGTGCTGTGCCTGTGTCACAAATAGTACCAACAGCACCAGCAAAAATGGTGTTTGTCACTGTCATTTTGCTCTCTCCTACGTTGTGTGGTGTGTGTCGATTTGCTACTGACTAATTGAGGCTGCTGCTGGTGGTGCTTAGGAAAGGAGAGAGAGAGAGAGAGGGATGAAAAGAGTTTGAGAANTGCTACTGACTAATTGAGGCTGCTGCTGGTGGTGCTTAGGAAAGGAGAGAGAGAGGGATGAAAAGAGTTTGAGAAAGAAAGACACCAGTTGCACCGTCTCCAGAGATTGAAGGGGAGGAAAGCAGTGGTAGTCGCTCTTGAGCTACCTTTCTTTCTTTACCCCCTTTTCCTCAATCACTCTGGTCATTCTGCTACGACTGCTGCTATTGCTGCTGCGACTACTCTCTTCTAGTCGACTGATGCTCTTTCTAGTCACTCTTTTCTTTGTGGCGAAACACGCTCTCTCTCTCTCTCCGTTTTAATGTTCTATTTGCGTCACCCTCGCACTGAGCACCACCTCCATTTCCATCACCATCATCATCGCCACCAGCACCAGCACTCGCACTAGTTCATCAATTAGATTTACCTAGTCGCTACCATGAACCATGTTTGGTCACGGATCTACCACCTCCACCACCACCGCCATCGCCAATAATAGTTCGGTGCTGTCGCCGGCCAACTCATCTGCAGCGTCGATGATGTCGTCCCTGATTGAGGCGACATCATCTGCGGCAGTAGCAGGTCCTAGTCATGGCAGCAGCAGCAGTGGCAGCTCTCCTACTGCGCCGCCAGCCACCCGAGAGAGGCCAAAAAAGCTAAAGAGCAGTCTGCTCTCTGTCTTTCAGTCCTTTACACCACCTTCTCCTTCTTCTCTCCCTCCTCCCCTTCCCCGCCACTCCCACTCTCAATCTCCCCAGCCTGCAGCGGTCGGCTCCAGCAGTCACCACCATCACCCTCACCACCACCACCATCCACACCACCACCCTCACCCTCAAGTTCCCTCCATCGACGAGGCTGATCAGCCTCCAACCGCCGCCTCAGATCAACTGCATTCATCATCATCATCATCGACCAGACAGCAGCAGCAGCAACACGCCAGTCATCACCACCATCACCACCGTCACAACAACCACAGTAATCATGCAGACGAACAGGGCTCAGCAGCAGCAGCAACCACTGCCACCGGCGGAAGTCACAGTAATCAGTCCAGTGGTCGAAGTCGGGCGCAAACCTCCACCGGCAGTCGCGGCTCCAGCTCGCGGACCACCGTTCCCGACGACGGCCTAGGGCCGCTGCCTCCCGGGTGGTCACAGCAGGTGGCAGAGAACGGACGGGTCTTCTTCATTGACCACAACACGCGCACGACCACGTGGAATGATCCGCGCACGGGCAAGGCCAGCCCATCGCCGGCCAACCTCAACTCGACCGGCTCAAAGAGCGGTTCCAGCAGTGCGGCCAGTCGAGGCGCCTCAGGCGGCAGCAGCGGCTCTTCCGGGGCCGGCAAGGCTGGCAGTGCTTCAGGGCCGGCGGCGGTGGACGACCTGGGTCCGCTGCCTGCCGGCTGGGAGGAGCGTGTCCACCGAGACGGCCGAATTTTCTTTATCAACCACAGTGAGTTTGTTGTTGTTTTCATTTTTTACCCAACCATGANACCTCAACTCGACCGGCTCAAAGAGCGGTTCCAGCAGTGCGGCCAGTCGAGGCGCCTCAGGCGGCAGCAGCGGCTCTTCCGGGGCCGGCAAGGCTGGCAGTGCTTCAGGGCCGGCGGCGGTGGACGACTTGGGTCCGCTGCCTGCGGGCTGGGAGGAGCGTGTCCACCGAGACGGCCGAATTTTCTTTATCAACCACAGTGAGTTTGTTTGCTGTTTTCAATTTTTACTTACTCAACCATGACCAATTTTTTCCCAGACACCCGAACCACCCAGTGGGACGACCCGCGCATCGACAACCCGACCATCTCCGGGCCGCCCATACTGTACTCTCGGGACTACAAGCAGAAGCACGAGTACTTCATGAACTCGCTGCCGCGACCCACCAATGTACCGAACAAGTTCGAGATCAAGGTCAGCCGGAACAGCATCCTCGAGGACTCCTTTCGCATCATCTCCAACGTCTCGCGCGTCGACTACCTCAAGACGAAGCTGTGGATTGAGTTTGACAATGAGGAGGTGCTCGACTACGGCGGTCCCGGTCGGGAGTGGTTCTACCTGCTCTCTAAGGAGATGTTTAATCGTAAGTAGTTTATGTGTGTTTTTAATTAACTAACTTTTTTCACTTGCATTTTCAAAAAGCTTACTACGGACTGTTTGAGTACTCCTCTGCGGACCAGTACACGCTGCAGATAAAGCCCAACTCGGGCAAGTGCAATGAGAGTCACCTGGCGTACTTCAAGTTTATCGGCCGCGTGGCGGGCATGGCCATCTACCACGGCAAACTGCTGGACGCCTTCTTCATTCGCCCCTTCTACAAGATGATGCTGGGCAAAGAGATCACCCTGAAGGACATGGAGAGCGTCGACTCTGAGTACTTCAACTCGCTCAAGTACATTCTCGAGAATGATCCCAGCGAGCTGTACCTCAACTTTTCCATTGACGAGCGCTTCCTCGACGTCATCGAGGAGAAGGAGTTGAAGCCGAATGGAGCGCAGATTGCGGTCACCAATGAGAATAAGTTGGAGTATATCAAGTCAGTTTGTTTGCCTGCTTACCTAAAACCGTTTTTAACAGTTTTTTCCCATTTTAATCTTTTAGCCTCGTCATCGACTGGCGTTTTGTCTCTCGCGTCAAGGTGCAGATGTCCGCCTTTCTCGAGGGTTTCCACGAGATTATCCCCAAGAAGCTGCTAGAGATCTTTGACGAAAATGAACTGGAGTTGCTGATGTGCGGCATTGTCAACGTTGACGTGAAGGACTGGAAGCAGAACACTGTGTACAAGGGCGGCTACGTGCAAAACCACATTGTCATTCAGTGGTTCTGGAGGGTAAGTGTTTTTAGATTTGCCTGTTCGAACTAAAATCACAACTGAAACAACTGCTTTCAAACAAAGGTGGTTCTCTCTTTTACCAATGAGATGCGCAGTCGACTGCTGCAGTTTGTCACCGGAACGTCTCGTGTGCCAATGAACGGTTTCAAGGAGCTGTACGGCAGCAATGGTCCGCAGCTTTTTACCATTGAAAAGTGGGGCACGCCGCAGAATTTGCCTCGTTCTCATACTTGGTTTGTTTTGAACGACTGTAAAAATAACAACTTTAACTTATAATTATCTTTTTTGGCAGCTTCAACCGCCTCGACTTGCCCTCCTACGAGTCGTACAGTGACCTGCGCGAGAAGCTCATCAAGGCAATTGAAGGCTCAGAGTCGTACGGAGGAGTTGACTGAATGAAAGAGTAGAACGTTGTCACCGTTTAGATCCGTGCTGTGGGTGTCAACAAATTCTGGTTAATGAGCTTTTTCTATCTTATCACACTGCAGTGATGGTATCGGCACACACACAGAGATGTACCACCGTTATCAACTGTTGATTATGTCCAATTTTCCAATTACTAGAAATTAGTCATTGCATCTAGTGACACATTTATCTCTCTGTCACTACATCCTGAACGGCATACCTCTCTCCCTTCCTTTTTACCTGTACATAATACCAACTCTCAACTGTAGCATGTCAAAAAAACATGTTGCTCTCTTTTCCTAAATGTGATCACATACAGCTTCTGCTTTCGCGCAGTGTTATCCCTTTGCTGTTTTTACTGTTTGTCTGTACATTTCTTAAGCTTGTTTCTTGTCTCCAATTATTTCTCTTTTTCTCTCTCTCAACTACTCGGAAACGCTGACTGACAAAGGATTTTTATTTTAATAACATTCATTATTTTCAATTATAGATTTTTTACGAAATGTTTGCTTTTGCATTTTTTATTTACAAAAAAATAAAAATGAAAAATGAAATAAGAAAGTGAACTTTTTTATTAATACTGTAACGAGTTTTATCGGCAAGAGGCATACACGACTGACAACAGGCTAGCTAAGAGTAGCAAGAGTAACCTAAAGTCACGTCGAACCTCTGCTTATATGCAAGGGGTAAGGGTTCGATATGTTCTAAAACACGTCAATAGAACAATACCACCACAATACAGAAAATTAGAACTTAGAATTGCTGAAAAAATTTTACCTTTTTAAACAACAGTCAGCATTACAATTTGATTGCAAAAAGCAATCTCAATCAAATTGGCTTTGGGTGTGTCAATCAATGTTCCTATTTCTCCATAGTTGTAGCATCATCGCAGCAGCAATTGCCACTGAGCAATCTTTAAGCAGCGGCCGCTTCACTAGCAGTCCCCTCTTCTACATTCTCACCTTTATCATTCTCGTACTGGCGGCCATTGGCCTCTTTGTACTGATCAAATGCTGCATTGATGGCGGCTACCCCAACTTGACTCTGCCCAGAAAGGCCAACAACCTGCAAAACAGAAAGAACACCACCAGAACAAGTAGCAGAGGAGGATTCAGATCTCGCTTCGGAACCAGTCTAGTACCGCTTACTAGCTTGCTTCGAGGTGGCTTTGGTCGCCGGACAACGGATCGCTTTGGCACATCTTCCGGTACACCCAAGGGTGGTACCACAGTAACTACGGAAGCCTTCAGAACGAGCCCACGAACAAGAAGCTAAAATAGAAAGAGCATTGAAATAAGCACAGATTCCCGTTTTTAAATTTTTACACAAAGAAGATATTTACAAAATAATAATAAAACCATCGTCATCATCGTAAAAGCGCATCAGCAAAGCAAATG